CCAGGCTGGTCGAGGTGGTTTTAGCTGGTCATTGTCCAGCCTGACCAGCTAAGACCAGGCTTAAAAATGGAAATCAGCCTGAAGTGGCCAAAACCCCTCTAAAACCAGGCTGGTCGACCAGCTAAAACCAACCAACCAGCTTAGGCTGGTTTAAACTGGTTTTTAGCCTCTGAGAATCCAAAAGTGTCCACATATTGATACGTAATGTTATGCTTGCTGTTTTAAAGTTTTAAATTATGATATAGTTTGAAAACAAGCAGGAAATCTTCATGGACTAATAACATGAACACAATACTGGCCACTTTATTAGGTACCTTATTTGTACCGGGTTGGCCCCCATTTTGCCTTCAGAACTGCCTAAATCCTTCGTGGCATAGATTTAAGAAGGTACTGGAAATGTTCCTCAGAGATTTTGCTCCATATTGACATGATAGCATCACATAGTTGCTGCAGATTTGTCAGCTGCACATCCATGATGTGAATCTCCTATTCCACCACATCCCAAAGCTGCTCTATTGGATTGAGATCTGGTGACTGTGGAGGCCATTTGAGTACAGTGAACTCATTGTCATGTTCAGGAAACCAGTCTGAGGTGATTCGCGTCTACATGCCCAAATGCTTTGATTTGCTGCCATGTGATTGGCTAATTAGACATTTGCGTTAACAAGCAGTTGGACAGGTGTACCTAATAAAGTGGCCGGTGAGTGTAGAACTTTCTAGCTTCTTACACAAGGGTAATGTTTGGGGGACTGTGATATTATAGTAAATAATGATATATGTGAGGCACCACGGTGGCGCAATGGGCTGCACTGTCGCCTTACAGCAAAAAGGTCGCTGGTTTGAGCTTCTGCTGTGTCAGTTGGCATTTCTGTGTGGAGTTTGCATGTTCTCCCCGTGTTGGTGCGGGTTTCTCCCACAAATCCAAAGACATAAGGTAAAGGTGAATTGGGTAAGCTAAAATTGTCTGTAGTGTATGTGTGAATGAGAGTGTATGGTTTCCCAGTGATGGGTTGCAGCTGGAAGGGCATCCGCTGTGTAAAACTTCTGCTGGATAAGTTGGCGGTTCATTTCACTGTGGCGACCCCAGATTAATAAAAGGACTAAGCCGAAAAGAAAATGAATGATTGAATGAATGATATATATCTGCAATATGTTTGGTCTAGAACAGTGGTTCTCAAACTGTGGTACGTGTACCACCAGTGGTACGCAGGCTTCTCTCTAGTGGTACACGGAGGATTCGCTGAATAAATAAAGTAAAAAAAAATAAAATAATAAAAACACTTTTAACCTTTTGATGTGAACAATAAGCCCGATGTGATCAGTAAAAGCCTGATTTTAATAGGGTAAACCTTTTATTTTATATTCTATTTTCTAATGTTTGTTATGTAGTCTATCATGTGAAGCTAATCTTCTCTCCAAATATGTAATGGTTGTTGGGGCGTATCCTCTATTTTTAAATCCCAATGTTGACAGGTATAGTTTAATCACTTGCTTTTCTGGCACACATAGCCTACTTTAACCCACATTAAGCAGATCTTATTTCTAATTTAAATATGTAAATTCAATTCATATATTTAAAATACAAGTTAATGTTTATATTTCAAAGATATAAAAAAGTACATGCATCATATATTTTAAAATTTATCAAAGAGTTTATGACATATAGCCTATATTTATGAGGTCCAAAGTACATTTCCAAGTTTTGATGAATAAGTTACTTTATGATAATACTTTACATTTAAGTACAGCAGTTTTCTTTTTACTTTTAAGAACAGTGTCATTTTTAATTAATTTTCAAAATCACATTTTAATTTAAACGTTAACATTTTATTTTTTTACCTGTGAGCACAGTACAGTGTTAATGTTCAAACTGTTTATAATGTTTAAAGTGGCTGACAATAATAAATATTCATAACAATAAGAATTACTCTGCCACGTTTTTGAACTGTGCAGAGCTGGAGCTGCAGCTATACATACTTAGCTTAATTAGGCCTACTACGCTACTGTATTTCAATACTGGTCATTATGGTGGTACATGGAGAGAAAAAAAAAGTGTCTGAGGTGGTACTTGATGAAAAAAGTTTGAGAACCACTGGTCTAGAAAACACCAAAGATCTGATAGACATCTTTTAAAGGTCTGCTGTATGAATATTCTAAATTAAAGAGCTTAAAGTCATTATACATCTATTTAATGTTCACATGGAGATGTCTTAAGACATGACTAAATAATGGTCAAATAAAAACATATTCCAGATAAACAACTCTGCGATGTTTATATAGGTGTGATATCAGGATTTTAATAATTACATATGCCAAAAATACAAAGACACAAATTGGATAAAGATTGCTTTACAAATGAAGCAAACAACACAGAAATCTTTTTTAATGTCATATCAATAACTGTAATGTTCATAATGCTCCTGTGGGGGGCGCAGCATGTCTACTTTACAGGTTTGAGCCGGTTTGAGTTGGTCATTTTTCATTCATTCATTCATCTTCCTTTCAGCTTAGTCCCTTTATTAATCACAGCAAATGAACAGACAACTTATCCAGCATATGTTTTACACTTTCAGCTGAAACCCAGCACTGGGAAACATCCATACACACTCATTCACACTCATACACTATGGCCAATTTAGTTTCTTCAATTCCCCTATAGCGCATGTGTTTGGACTGCGGGGGAAACCGGAGCACCCAGAGGAAACCCACGCCAACATGGGGAGAGCATGCAAACTCCACACAGAAATGCCAACTGACCCAACTGGGACTCGAACATGTGGCCTTCTTGCTGTGAGGCGACAGTTTGTTAGTCTGTACCTTGCATTCCTGATGTTGTGGGGACCAAATGCCCACATGACCTAATTTTTTTGTTTCCTATGAGGACGTATTTTGAAAATGTAAAATTGCAGATATAAAATATACAATCTGTACAGTATAATAATCATATGGGGGAATCCCCATAAATTTAAGTGTGTGTGTATCTTCCAACGGAATGTTGTGCATGCAGCGTGTGTTTATCCACAATTATCACTGGCATGTTTATTGCTCTTCTTTGGCTCAATCTGACTATGCCCTGCACAAATCAGCACAGAGAGCAAACAAATATGGCATTAATATTCTTGGTTATGCCAATGTTTACTCAACATTGAAGTACATTCAAGAATCTAATAACAAACCATCAACTAAGAATTTTAGCTTAATAAACTACTGATTAGCTGCTGATTAATTGTTAGTGAGGTGTTAGCTGGGTTTAGGTTTGGGTATTGGGTAGGACTAGTGATGTAAAATAAGATCATACTTTATAAGTACTAATAAACAGTTTATATTTTAACAATAGGCAGGTACACAAAAAACGCTGGGTTGGTTTTTAACCCAAATGCTGGGTTGAGACTGCTAGGTAACAAAGTTGGGTTGATTTAACCCAATTTGGGTTGAAAATCAGTCTTGATCTGTAATGCTGTGTTCACACCAGACGCGGAACACACGGACAAATCGCGATATTCGCACGTAAATAGCCGTGTGAACATTTGAGGTTACTCGCTTCATTCACGCGTAAAATCCGCTTCATTTGCGCGTCAAAATTCACTTCGGAAGAGACGTGGATTTTCGTGATGGGCAGGGCTTCTGTGTGCACGGTGACTCTAGCTTCTTAGCTAAATGGCTAACATGTATTTTATGAAGAAAATAACAGTGTTTATGTGCTTTATGAAGGCTGAAAAACAGCATCGATACGTTTATGGCAGTGTCCACTTCATCCTTTCAGAGGTGCATCCAGCTCTGTGAGCTCATAAACTCCTCCAGATACTTAACCTGGATGACGGAGGTTTTCAGCGGTGCTTCTGACTGCGCTGAGCCCAGTTCGATGAACTTTTTGTCGGTGTAGGCTGGAGGATTTCCCCTGGGACACCCACAACAAGCGATATGTCACAATCACGCCCCCACAAGAGCAAGCTCCTGATTGGTTAACGCGGCGCGAATGTCCGCTGAAGTTCAGATTTTCGAACTCAAGTGATTCGCGTGTCAAACACGCAAAACGCTCAATTCGTGTCGCGCCACGCCATTTGTGCGTATCGCGTCATTCGCACTGCGCCATTTGCGCAATTTGCTCCATTCGCGCCACGCCATTCGCACATATCGCGCCGCAGGATGTCTATTCGCACGTTTGCATTGACTTAACATGTAAATCACTCACACGTCTGGTGTGAACGCAGCATAACCCAGCAGTGCTGGGTTGGGAACGCGGACGTAAAAGAGAGCACACATTTCACTTCAAAATCCAGGGACATCAGTGTGAGAA